CAATCTCTCTCTCTCTCTCACACACACACACACACACACACACACACACACACAAACAAACAAAAGAAACACGCACATGCAAACAGATACACATCATCAGAAACTTTTTGCTGCTTCCACACTACCATGAATTGCCGTCGCCAGAGTCAAAGCTGAGAGGACTGTTCACAAGAGAGAAACACATGGTCGGTGGATGGAAAAGGAACCTCATGCGTACCTTGTGACTGAGTCCTTGCTCTCCTCTCGGGCTTTCTGGGCAGCTTGTCGCCAGTTCCGCAGCAACCGCTCGTCCTCTTTCCAGAGTCCAGGAGCCTGCAGTGATCGAAACAGTCTTGTGTTATTGCTTTCCGAAAACGACGGAGGAAACCGATGATACTTTTGCAATTGCGACACAAATTGAGAAGAGACCAAAAGAAAATGTAAAATTCTCGAAGAAGTGTGGCGTAATGAGACAAAAGTTCTGTGCAATCCGCCTACATGGACTTGAACCAATGACTCTTGCCTTATGAAAGCAATACTCCAACCGAGTTAAGTAGGCAGTATTCTTTCTGATTAAAGCAATATTAATCAACTTTAAAAATCAATTCAACTTCAAAGATTTCTGTGTCCTCTTACGCACGGAGCACCCGCCAATGAAGGATTTCGTGCAACAGAATGAATCAAAGAACTAAACACGTTTCCAATACCTACAGCGGCTCCAGCTAATTCGATTGTTGCACAGCCCGCTCCAATTAATTTTGCACGCAATCATAGGTTCGAATCCTGTCAGTCCCAATCGCAACGAGCTCACATGATAAAAATCATCCCCCGCTTACTGAATCCCTTGGGGCACAGTTTGTTGTAATCAGCCTACTCAGAATCACCATCCTCGCCATTCTGATAGCTATCTTTGTCACCAGCATCATCACCCGTCGCACAAAATGCACCAGCCTCATTCTCACAATGATCCTCCATATGAGCATCCACCATAATCGTCACAGCAGTTCCTTGCAGAAAGTGAGATGTCCTTATCATCAACAGGATCATCACGGTGACCACCATCCTCGTTATCATCTCGCAGATTCACGCTCATCATCCTCACCATCAGCCACCGAGGTGCCTTATATTGATCCAAACATCCCCATAAGGAGACCGACCTTTTGCTACAGCTGCAATCTCATGGTTTTTGGATGTTCTTGTGCCAAAGCCAGGTGATGGCCCCAGTCTTGTTCACGATTTTTTATGTTCTCGAGCCCAAGCCGGGCAATGGCCTCGGTCTTGTTCATATAAGGGACCCTGGACCCGGTTCCACCAATAGACAGGAGCCGCCTGAGGAGATGCTACCCGAGGCTTCTCATATCACCACGGGTAGCTATCGAGACAGGCGTTTAAAAATTAAAAAAAAGAAAAGAAAAGAAAAGAAAAGAAAAGACATCGAGCCGAAGCCGGGTAATGGCCTCGGTCTTGTTCATATTAGGGACCCTGGACCCGGTTCCACCAATAGACAGGAGCCGCCTGAGGATATGCTACCCGGGCCTGCTCATACCACCACGGGTAGCTATCGAGACAGGCGTTTATAAAATTAAAAAAAGAAAAGAAAAGAAAAGAAAAGACATCCCCCTAATCATTAACAGAGTCGTCACAATCTCATCATCAGCAGCATCGGCGTCAGCATGATACTACTGGCACAATCACCAACATGGCTTCGATTCATTGACACATCCTCGCCCTCACAAGTATTATCGTCACTCTCTTCATCATCATCATCATTACCAGCAGCAGAACCTCCACAAACTTATCAAGAACGAGAGTGGTACGTTTACCCATTCTCAACATCTTCATCGTCGACATAACCTCATGATGATCAGACGAAGTCGACTGACCAAACGAGAAGCCAAAGAGGTAGTGGGAGAAGGATACAGAGAGATCCTTACCTTTGATGTCATCGTCACCAAGCCTGCTCCGAATATCATCCTCCAAGCTGGTAACAGCAATATCTTTAAGCCGCCTGCTCGGTTCATTCTCGTCCAGTTTCCCAACGCTCCCCTTCAGAGCCAACGTCGCAAATTTGTTGGAGCTGTTGAAGCCAGATTGTCTATCCTCTTCCCGGGAAAGATCAGACAAGTCCACCACCGGAGACAAACCTGTCCAGAAGTGTCCATCGACGCCCATACAGTCTCTGTCCAAGATTGGCGTGACGCTTTGACCAGGCGGTGCGTAACCTTGCTCTTCGGTCTCGCCGACGCTATCATGCCCATCTAGGTCGTGAGCATGGCCAGACCGGTTGCAGCTCCCCACGATGGTGGTCCCAGGGTGTTCCTTAACGGCACGTTTCACAGATTCCACCTGATCCAGACTTCGCTCTGCAATGACATCAGTGCCACATTCAGACCAACCACCTTTCCGATCAACAACGCTGTCCTTGAGGGGAGACGACGGACGAGACTGCTTCTGCTGCTGCTGCTGCCCCCAGGGGTACGCAAGACGACGATACTCGTCAGACTCCCCACCGTCCGCCCAGCCCTCTTCCCTGTCTTGCAAGCCGTTGTTTCTCTTCTTCGTGCTTGTCAAAACCAGATTCGCTTGTTCATTTTCCTCGTCTTCGTCGGCTTGCCCGCCGTCGTGGTCATCCTCGCTGTTGTCAGCATCACGGTGTGCAATCCCATGATCCTTTCCCATGATAACCACAGTGTCGTCATCAGACTCGATTCTGGCCTCGCGAAGATACTCGTCGACATGCATCGTCCACCCACTGGTGATGGCATCATCGACGAAATCATCATGCCCCGCAGAGCCGCCGAGAGCAGCATTGTCAACTGTCACCGACCTTGATTTCTCCGACATGCTATCTTCCGTACTAGGAGTCAGTAGACGTCCAAGTCGAAGAGCCGCCGACAGTGAAAGAGAGGCACGTGGAGATCCTAAGGACGATGAGATTTCCACCTCTCCGGTCTCCCCCATACAGTACGAGTCGGGACACGGCCGTTCTACTGACACGACGAACTCTGTTGAAGGCATTGCACGGGAAGAAGTCGTAACAGGTGGAAGGCAAACATCGGCATGACCACCTTCGTTGACTTCGACGACAGCAGCCTCGGTCGCCTGAGGAGGAACCGTCGCTGTATGCTGCTGCTGCTGCTGCTGCTGCTTCAGTGACTCTGACGCCTCCGCCGACGCCTCCATAGCCGCAGACGCGACACTACGAGTGCCACCACCTTCAGAATCGCTGCCGCCGTTCCCAACATGATGATGCAGCTTCCGCAGCGTCGATTGAGGCGTTTCCGACGACGGGGAAAGTACCCCAGCCGCATTCTTTCGCGCAGCACCGTTCTCTCGACGGGGGGCTGCATTCACCAAAACGGTCGACGAAACGGACGCGAACCCCTGATAGACAGCTTCCAGATCGTGTGTGCTCACTCGAGTGCCATTTGACTGAGACGTGGGAATCAGTGTCCTTCCCGAAGAGCATCGACAAACGGTGGGCCCAGACGAGGATTCGCCGTCCGAAGCCGGTGCTTTTGACGGCGATGACGCAGAGACACCTCCAGCAAGTTCGGTATCCCCTCGTTCATTTGCTATGTTGCAGTCCCTAAACGACAGTTGGGAGCTGCCCCCCTGCTGATCCGCAGTATATAAAACCACCGCGGAATCCACCGCTGCCGGAGAGGGTGCCGCCGACGTATCGCCTTCGCGAGAATGTGTCGCCTCCACATGCTCAGCCGGATGAACAGAAGAGATTTCTAATTCCGCTGCAAACTCTTGTGCTTCCCCACAGGACGAAAAAACCGCCTCAGCGGTTCTGCCGACGATGCCTGCGGGGGCAACTCCGTCAGAAGCAGAAGCACATTCTATTTTGCTATCAGCTGCAACCTTCGCAGAGGGGGTAAGGACTATCCCCTCTTGTTGCTCGCACATCGGCGTACCGTCGAGCGCCAATACAGCGCGTTCGCCCCGTGCAGTAGCTGCTCCAGCACCAGCAGTAGCCACCTCGAGGCAAGACAGAAGAGGACTGCAAGCAGTGGAAAAGGGCAACTTCGGTGTGGGTTGGTCGAAGGCGGCCACATCATGAGCATCGTGAAGAAACAAGAACGCAGAGGAAGGATCAGCGGCTAGAACATGCTCTTCTGAAGAAGGCACGATCGTGGACTTCAACTGATCAACAGCGACAGCTTCCATGTTCTCAGCAGAGACCGGAGGAGGAGAAGGGACCGGCGTGTCCTCCTCTGCACCCCCTTCAGCGTTGGCCCCAGCCGCCGAGCTCCTCGGAGCATGGCGACTTACCAGAGCACAAGAGTAATGGATATCCATAGGCTGGAGGACACCACTCAGCTGCACCATAGGCAAAGAAGACAGAGGAGGAGGAGAGGAGGCAGTATCACGAACAGGTTGATTGGCGACGGCGACATGGTCATGGCCACGAAAACAGGAGGTGTGCTCGACGTCCACCGCAGCTTCTGGCGCGATGTTCTCCTTGCCAGACAAGAAAGAAGAGGACGTCGTGGACAGCGCCGGAGAATCGAAAAGGGCATTCAAATCACTAGCAGGCACACGTGCCTGCAGTTCATATCCGTTCCCAGAGTGGGCGACGTTGGCCGCAAGACGAGCACGTCCTGCTTCTCCTCCTCGCGGAACGACCGTGGCAAAATTAGTCGGAAGGTTCTCATCAGCAAAATTACACAATGTATCGTTCTCGTCCTTCGCCGACGACATTGAAGGCGTGCAAGGAGGCGACGGAAGCTTCTCCTCTCTCAATACACCTTGCTCCTGCTGCTCCTGCTGCTGAGGGTGCTGCGGCTGATGATCAACATTAAGACGACAGCGAATTTTACTACTGCAGGTTCTTTCGCCAGCGTACAAGGTCATCGGGGGCTTGTTGTCACTGGACGGGCGCTCCTCCTCTGGTGGCCTGTTCTCCTTCGCACTGGAGAAGGAGGAGGCAAGGCTGTGCTCGGGCTCGGGGCGCTGCCACTGTGGTGCTGAAGCATTCTTTGCCAAGGCCAGCGCGCGCGAGACGGACTTCTTCGCGGCCAGGGGTTTAGATGTAGAGAAGCATGGCGACACAGGAATGTTCAGCATGGGGTACCACGATTGCAACGTTCCTCTCTTGCACCCCACGCCCTCTGTCTCACAAAGTGCTGTCGACTTCTTCTCCTCAGAGTTCAGAAGTGAGACCAGGAGCCGCAAGGCGTGCTGGGAAGTCGGGCCCGCTTGGGCATTCAGAATAAGAGCTTCGGCCACATCCAAAAACCCCTCGGGATAAGCTTCTGGGTCGACCTCGTCGGCGGGGAACATGCCGCCGCTGCTCTTCTTCTCCGCCGATGCAGACTGCTGGAAATAGGATCTAATATCCTCTCCAATCACCGAAATAGGCGACCGTGCGTCGACACTATCGGGGCAGTGATTGAACTTAGAAACATCGGATAAGGACAACGACATGCCCTCGGCCGACAGCATTCCTGCTGCCTCCGGAGTGCATTCCTCCTCGTTACCCTCCCGGCATCGCTGCAAGGCTGCACACTCTCGTTCCATCGATGCGGACAAGTCCTTTGTCAACCTCTCTCGATCGAAATCGCGTAGGCACCCTTCGACCTCAGCTCGCCTCTCGTATCCTCCACCTAGCGCCCGACAGCGCGCTGTGTAGGTTGCTGATTCGGAGACAGCCGCGGGACAGCTCGGTGCTGGCCGGTCAGCTGCTGCAATTCGGCTCCGAGAGTGCGAGCGAGGCGGTGTGCCACCCTCGACGAAGACGTATTCATCCGCGCCACAGGGTGGAAAAGGAAGGGCCTGGAGAGGTGGCCTGTGAGGAGCACCCCAAGCGTCGGGAGTCGTCGGCAACAACTCAGTCTTCTTAAGGAGACTTGATGTCGATCCCGAAGGCGAAGAACCGTAACTGACATCCGGACGCACGTAGATGTCTCCGTAGCTGCTGCTGCTGCTGCTGCTGTTGTTGTTGTTGGTGTTCAACGAGGACAAGCCTCTCCGCGAATCGCATTTCCTAGGCCTACGGCTGTCAGGGTCAAGATTAATTGACATTGCCAGGAAGGGCAAGGGTGCCCCTGCTTCTGCCGCTGCTCTTGCTTCTTCCCGACGACAAGGAGAGCCAGCACAAACTCCATCCTCTTGCAGCTCGGCGGCTTTGCAGCCTCCGTCCTCTGACGCACCCACGGGGTGATAGGAAGAAATAGGCCCGCCCGGTTGGCGAACGTCATAGGAAAATAGTGGCTGCTCTGGCAGCAGCGAGGTCATCTCCGCCGCATCAGCTCCTTTGCAATCTCCAGATTCAACGCCAAACATCTTCTCTTCAACAGCAGGATGGGTATGACCGGAGCAAGGCCTCCTCTCCTCCCTGCTGGATCCCGCACCTGCTGGCCCGATCCCCTGCAATAGCAGCTCTCTCCCCACCTTCTTAAACAACTCCGGCACTTCTGCATCGAGTCCGCGTCCTGGGACAAATGCATTTTCGTCCGAGTACGGAGACCCCTGGGCAAGATCACTCAAGCCCAGTCTCTCCGAGAGCCTCGACGACACACCGTCCGCCATATCCGCAGGCAACTTCACGTCGGGCACGCACGGCAGCTCTGCCTCCGACTCCCCACCACCAGGTCGTGCTCTTTCCCCGACGGAGGCAGCATCGCCTCTGGTGAATGCCTGCAAGTCGACCACTCTCCCAAAGCGGCTCTTCAGCTTCGATGACCAGGGCGCCCGCCGGCTGGCGGACGATTCCACCATCTGTGGGCTGCGCTCCAACGGCGCGGAGCGCACGGAGACGGGCGACGCAGCGGACTCTCCTCCGCCATACAGCCCCGCATCTCCCGCTTCTCCATGACGGCCACCCGCCGAAAGCTCCCTCAGGACGCCAAGGTATTGATCCATGAGAGGAGCGGCAGGAGGCAAAGGCGACACCATGCCCGCGGAACGAGCGGTCTTCAGCTTCGATGTGAAGGACAAAGCAGGAGAGGGAGGAGGATTGCGCGGAAATGCATTCGAATCTCCAAACTCTCTCGCCAAAACGTAGTTACTGCACTGGCTGGCTTTCTGCTCAGACGTCGCCAGAGCTTCCGCGAGAGCAGTAATCATCCTCTGCAGGAAAACCCGGCTCCTCTTTTCCGATTGCACTTCCATCTCCAACACCTGCGGAACAACAAAAAGGAAGCAACCACACACGTTAGAAGACGCGCAGAAGAGACTACCGTAATAAACAGGCAGAGAAACAGCCAACTGACAACCGCACAGACACACGTTACAAAACGTAGCACGACTGTCCTTCGGGACATCCGTTAAAATTGGAACGATACAGAGAAGATTAGCATTGCCCCTGCGCAAGGATGACACGCATAAATCGAGAAATGGTCCAATTTTTTTGACGCATTAAAATAAAAAAATAAAAAAATAAAAAAACGTGGCACGACTGGTGTTACAAGACAATGGTGCGAGGTCACTGGAATGGGGACGCAGTCGTAGGCAAAATACAGCCGGGCGGAGAAAACTTACAGATATGAGAAAAAAAAACACTCGTAAAAATAAACGCAGAGCGACATGGACAAACACACAACGTAGACCGCCCCGACCGGTCCAACACCATGCAACAACGTGCTCTTCTTCTTTATTACAAGTCCATAATCTTGTTCCATCCATCTGATCCCGGGCGGAGAAAACTTACAGATATGATAAAAAAACACTTGTGAAAATAAAGGCAGAGCGACATGGACAAACACACAACGTAGACCGCCCGACCGGTCCAACACCATGCAACAACGTGCTCGTCTTCTTTATTATAAGTCAACAATCTTGTCCCATCCATCTGGTCCCGGGCGGAGAAAACTACAGATATGATTAAAACAAACTTGTGAAATAAAGGCAGAGCGACATGGACAAACACAACGTAGAAAAACGGCCGGTCCAACACCATGCAACAACGTGCTCGTCTTCTTTATTACAAGTCCATAATCTTGTTCCATCCATCTGGTCTCGTGCATGTTCTTACTCAGAGAGCTCTTCCTGTGTGTCTAGGGAATGGAATGTGTGAACCATCCATCTGGCGTCGTGCATGTTCTTACTGAGAGCTCTGCCTGCGTGTATAGGGAATGGGATGTGTGAACAATTCCGACACTTCGGCCGGGTGCGACACTCTGCTTTCCCGAATCGATCAACATTGATACGCGACAGACAATACACAGAGAAAGTGAGGCCCGATTAGTGCAACACCGTACTTGGTCGAATTCGGCCACATAGTACTGCCATGCAATTGCGATTGCGCAGAATTACAACAACAACAGAAGCAAAAAAGGGCTAGCCCACCCGCTCATAGTCACGGGCTGTCATTGTTTTGCAGTGCTTAGGGCGTCGCCGCACGGGACACGAAACGAAAAACGAAACGACAGCATCTTCCTGCAGAAAATGGCCAGGTTCATCGGTTTGCTATAAATAGTGACGAGTGTACTTAACCACCTTTCGTAGGCAGATGCACTCGTTTCGTTTTCGTTTCGTGTGCCGTACGGCGAGACCCTAGACCTAAAAGATTATATGTTCTTTTTAACTCAGAAGCTGCGCAATGATGCCAGGTCTTTTCCGGGTAGAATGAGGACCCGGACTCGTCTTCAACGGATGTGATTCAATGAATCGAATTTTAATTGCTTCAAACTGTTGCAATACTTGTCGGACTGGATAGGGTGTGATCCCAGCGTACTTCTGATCACTACTTCGGTGACGTTACTATTCATAACGAGAATTTGAACAACTGAAAAACAGACAATGCACGCCTGTTATGAATGACACTCCCGAGCTTAAGAAAGAGCAGCGGGACACAGAAATTTCCACCACTTCGCAAAAAAAAAAACAAAAAAAAAAGGGGATATTTCTACGAATCCGATCCGTACCTCCATTTTCCTTGCCAGGTCCTCGTTCTGCTCTTTGAGTTTTGCAGCCCTCGCTTCTCCTTCTTCCCTCGCTCTGCTCACCGCTTCATCCACGCGAGAGGTCAGATCAGCGCTCACAGCCGCTACGACCTCAATCACTCGAGACATGCACTGCGTTTCTATTCTTGTGACAGATTCCGTCAACTGCCTCTCAAGCCGGTCCTCCATAGTGGCAACGGTCAGCGAAACCAAGGCCGCGGCCCCGATACACGGTAGAACTGTTCCCGCTGGTGTCATCTCACCCTCTCCGACCCCCTCTGACACCTGCATCCGCAAATCAACGCCAGCAACATGCACCAGTCTAATAAGGGCATACACTCGCACTAGGACATTTTTCAACTTCTTTATGGACGTAATTGTGATCAGCCACACCCAGATCCGGCCGTAAATGCGGCCACATAGGTGTAAGATAGGGATAAGGTAAGTACGCCCTAAGACAAGGCATCTTTGAGATTAAATTTGCATTTTGAATTGGTTGGGCTTAAAGAATTAGACTTTAATAATCATACAATCCCGGTTTGTGTCCTTGCATTTTAAATCATGCCTTAAAAAAAAAAAAAAAAAAAAAAAAAAAAAAAAGGCGAACGGAGATACGGAACCTCGTTTCTTTTTTTGTTTGTTATATTGCTCTTCCCTTCCCTTCTTTTCTTCTTTTAAATAGGCCCACGGCATCCGCGATATCATAATTGAACTGACCCACCCCACGCATTACAGAATTGTTTTATTCTCCTCATCTGATCGTATCTGGATTCGAACTTTGGTCTGATTCATATGTCAACAGTTCGTGGGTGTACCAACTGAGTTAGGCCCGGTGATTCAACGTCGTATTTGCAAATTTCCTTACAGAACTTTTACCGCCTTCCATGCATGCGATCAGATACATGACAGATTCCATAAGCTGGTCGTATGTCTTACAGATGATGCGTACACCATCGTACTAGCAAGCTGCGTCATACGCAATACTTCATCATATAACAACATTGCCCCATGACCACACAAGTTCCACAACTCAAATTGATCAGTGCTACAAAGGTTTTCCTCCAGAGTTCCAGAGGGTTCCCTGAGGTGCGTGGATTTAGATGGTTAAGGATTCCACGCGTCAACGGCTCTTCAATCAAAAAGGCCTACTCAGGCTGAACACCTTTTCCTCGATACACCTCCACATAATGACAGGGTCAGTCCTCGTGTAGGTATGCCAGTCGTAATGCGCGGGAGGGGACCGGGAAGACTGCGGGGGAGGGTGGGGCCGGGCAGGAACAAAGCTTTATGACGACGGAAGAATCCAGCAAGGGTTCCCTCATGCCGTTCAACTCCACAGAAGACGATTTATGCGTGTCATCCTTTGCGCAGGGGCCATTTGCTAATTTACCCTTCTCTGTATAGTTCCAATTTTAACGGATGTCCCGAACTACAACTCCATAGAAGTCGTTTTCTTTATTTTTACTTCCTTGATCTTCCTTTTTATTACGTGGGCGAA